CGCCCCGCCCCACTCGAGATGGATTGTGGTGGTGTCGCGCAGTGTAGCTGGGCGCACAAGGCCCTGCTGTCAGCAGGATGCGCTCCTGCCGGGGTCCCCCGCAACAGGAATCAATGCGGCCCGCCTCATGCCGTGCCCGCCCCTTCGGCCCCCGCCTCCCATCTCGCCACCTGTCTCTCCCAGCGCAATGCCTCCTCCTCTGATAAGGCCGCCCATCTCCATCTCTCTCTCGCTCGCGTGATACTCGCCACGTGTGCGAGAGAGAGAGAAAGATGGTCGCCTCTGGAGGGGCGGGGCGGGGCGGGGCGGGGCGGAGCGGGTCGCGACGTCGGATCCGATACTAGTGTCGTCCCGCGGCTCCTCCAGCCCCCGTCGTGGGGCTCCTACCCAGGGAAAGTTCGGCTTCCTGACTTAAATTCTCGGAGCACACACACACACACACACACACACACACACTCACTCACTCACGCCACACCTCACACGCTCCGCTGCTAAGAAATGTCTTCCCTTGCTGCGGTGGCGTGTATCGTCGGGGCTGGACTCCCCCGGGGGTCGGGCAGGGCGGGGGGAGGCAGTGAGGGGGAGAGGAGGGTACCCAGGGGGCGTTGCGTGGCCCGGGCTCCACGACCCCCCCCCCTCTCCGTCCCGACGGGCCACTTCAACCCTTGCCTCCGCACCTGCCCCGGACCAAAAGCAATACCATCTCGTCAGGTGGCGCCGGGCACCGCCGCCCCCGGCCGCGCAGCCCGGCCCAGCCTTCCGCTCTGGCCGATCGCGGTGCTGGACCCGAGTTGTCTCGTCTAATTACCGCCGAGGCTACGACATGTGTGTTTATGCCCAGCTCCGTTAAACGGAGCCGCGCCCGATCGGGTCCGAAGGGTTGCTCCGCACCCCTTCCTCCCCTCCACAACGCGCCGCCCCTCCGCCCTGCCCTGCACCGCAGCCTCACCGGATGATTGAATTTGCCCGGGGAAAACAAGATAAGTAGAGGCGGGCGGTGGGGTGGCGGAGAGCTGCGCGGCGGTGTGGTGGGGCGGGGCAGGCAAAAGAGGGTCCGGGATTTGGGAGGCCGAGATAAATGGTGCACCTTGTCCCATACCCGAGAGTGACAGCCTTGAGCCGCTCGCTGCGCTGCTGTGCCTCGCCCGCCTGCCTCCCCCTCCACCGCCTGCAGCGGCAGCGGGTAGGCAACCCGCCGGGAGGCGCGCGTGCTGGTGGCCTATCCCTGCCTTGTAAGGGGCTCCTCTTATCCTCCCCATCACTCTCGACGCCCTCGTTGCATCTCTTTCGCTCGCCTCCTCCGTCGGGGGGAAAGCAGTCGCCATCAGCGGAATATTAAATCTCGCTGACGCTGGTAATAATTACTCTGCAGTTTTTCCTTTTTTTTTTCCCTTTCTCCTCCTCGAGTCGGCTGAACGAGTGGAGTGGATTGACATTCGCTGATGGTGTGCGGGACGAGCCCTAAGCTCGCCTCGCCGCGCCATCCCCCCGGCGCGGAGGAGGGGTATTAGGGAGGTAATGGTTGCCTGCGACCTGGTAATAGCGGTGAGGGGCGGCGCGGGGGCGGGCGGGGGCGGCGCTCTCCCGCGGGACCACTCAAGGAGCAGGGCGGGCCCTTCGCCGCCCCGACCTTTAGGGTGCGTGGCGCGGGGGCGGGGAGTGCGCGGCCTGAAACATGC